GTAAAACACTCTCTCTCTCTCTCTCTCTCTCTCTCTCTCTCTCTCTCTCTCTCTCTCTCTCTCTCTCTCTCTCTCTCTCTCTCCGTCCTTTTCAATAATACTTCTGCTAACGCATAATATGCGGTGTAATTGTCAGTATTAATTGTTGTGTTCCCATTACGTCATCTTTTCCAAAGTTTCCTAATCAGCAAAATGAGAGGTTCATATTCTCACTCACTCGGACAAGACAAACATACCGTTAAGAGACAATCCGTCTACTTTCAGCTCTTAACCTCCCCTCCCCACTCTTTTTCCTTCTTTCTTTCTTTCTATTCTCTATCAGTTTCTTTCACTTTTTGCCCGTTCGCACATCTACCCTCTCGCTTTCTCCGTCGCCCTATTTTTTGCACTCTATCTCTTTGTCTATCCCTCTCTATCTTTATCCTCACCTCTCTCTTTCTCACCCGACTCTTCCCTGTCTCCCTCCTTTTTTCTGGTACTCTCTTTTTGTTCCTCTCTACTCTTATCGTTATCTCTTTCTATCTACCCACCTCTCCCTATTCTCCCACCCCTTTCCCATATCTATTCATAGATGTTTGTTTTTATTGTTTAATTACACTTTCAGAAAACGGTATAATTTATTATTCCTTGAAAGTACTAAGCTGTAAAAGACAATAAATAACGATCTTTAGAACTTACTTGTGGTCTTAGTAGTCGGAAAAAAGCCTTATTGTTCATTTCAATTTCACTGCCTTATTTTGGGTCGCTCGTTACACTTTAAATAATGGATATAATTGGTATCCTTTTGAAAGTGTAAGGCTGTATTAGACAACATAAAACTTTGGTTAAGAATTTTCTTGAGACCGTAGAAGCTGGAACAGTTTTATTTTTCATCCAAAAGTTTTTGCATTATTTTTAAGTTGGTCGATACACTTTCAGGAATGTGTATAATTTATCTTTTTTTGAAAGCACCAAACTGTAGAAGACAATAAACAACAGTGATTTAGAAATTACTTATGGTCTTAGTAGTCGAAAAAAGCCTTATTGTTTATTCCAATTTTATTGCCTTATTTTGGATCGGTTGATGCACTTTCAATAATGTATGCCATTGATATCTTTTTGAAAGTGTCAAGCTATATTAGACAAAATAAACTTTTTTTTAGAACTTTCATGCGATCGTAGAGCCTTTTATAGCTTTACTTTACATCCCAAAGTTTTTGCATTATTTTTGAATTGGTCGTTACACTTTCAGAAATGGGTATAATTTATCGTTTTTTGAAAGTACCGAGCTGTAGAAGACAATAAATAACTTTGTTTTAGAACTTACTCGTGGTCTTTGTATTGGGAAAAAACCTTATTTCGTATTCAAATTACATTGGCTTATTTTTGGGTTGGTCGTTACACTTTCATTAATGGATGTAATTGATATCTTTAAAAAAATGCCAAGCTGAAGTAGACATCATAAAACGTTCTATTAGAACCTTCTAGTAATCGTAGCAGATGGAAGAGCTTTATTTTTCATCCAAGTTATTTTGGCCTTCTTTAGGGTCGGTCGTTACAATATTTTAGTATTAGATGTAATTGATATCTTTTTGAAAGTGCTAAGCTATAGTTGACAACAAAAACGGTTTTAGAACCTTTTTTGTGGTCATAAAAGCTGTAATATTTTTTTACCATAAACTTTTGGCTTTATATTCAGGTCGGTCGTTACACTTTCAGAAATGGGCGTAATTTATCTTTTTTTGGAAAGTACCAAGTTGTATAATATTAAGCAATATGTAACTTTGTTTTAAAAATCACTAGTGGTTTTAGAAGCCAGAAAAGGCTTTACATTTTATTTAATAATTTGGGATTGTTTTTGGGTCTGTCGCTACACTTTCAAAAACGGAAGTAATTGATATTTTTAGAAGATGTCAAGCTGTAGTAGACAAAACGTATTTTTAGAACCCTTTTTCGGTCTTAAAAGCTGAAACATCTTACTTTTTCACCCGAATAATTTTCCCTTTGTTAGGTCTGTCGTTTCACTTTCATTAATGAATGTAATTATTTTCTTTTTGAAAGTGTCAAGCTGTATTAGACAATATAAAACTTTCTATCAGAACCTTCTTGAAGTCGTAGCGGATGGAAGAGCTTTATTTTTCATCCAAATCATTTTGTCTTATTTTTGGGTTGGTCGTTCTACCTTTAATAATGGATGTAATGTATGTCTTTGTGAAAGTGCCAAGCTGTAGTAGACAAAATAAAACTTTCTTTTAAAACCTTCTTGCAGTCGTAAAAGCTAGAACAGCTTTATTTTTTCACCCAAATTATTTTGCCTTATTTGACTGCAGACCACGCCCTTCGATTGGTTTCTTTTTTCGTCTCGCCCGGATACACAAGGAATACCTCCGAAGTTTGTGATCCGTTCAAGTCCGGCCAGTTCTTTTTACCCATGGGCACCTGACGAAGAGTGTGCACCAGAGGAAAACTTTTGGACATTTGCAGAGACGTATCCCAAAGAATGTCGTAGTGCATCACCAGTCTTGAAAAGGTTTAGAACTGTAATCTTCTTGCCGATTGAATGGCATGGGCGGTGCCACCCTCCCGTCTAAGAGGAAAACCTGGACCAAAGAGGTGTGTTGGCGAGGGACAGTGCGCAGATTGATCTCACACCAACCATCAGGTACTCGGTTTCCCTCCACACCAGTCGCACCTCACGGTCAACGATGGATGATCTTCAGTTTTGCTGCACATGAGGTCAGCGGTGGATGAAGAGACAGAAGGAGAAAGAAACAAGGAAGGAGAAGAGGAAGATACACAAAAGAAGATGTCACCCATGAATCGTTGAGGGTTAGGGTCCATGTGCGACATTTCGTCACGGGGGGGGGGTTAACCTCCTGCAGATGGGGCACTAGGTCTATTTATAATCCCCCAAACCATGGGGGCAGGCACACTCTCAGTTATGGATGTAATAATCTATAGTATTTCATAAGCGTCAAACTGTTGTAAACAACTAATCAGTTTTTTTGCGAACCTAGTTGTGGTCTTAGAAGCTGGAAACAACTTTATTTTTTATCCGAAGTGTCTACTTTGATTTTTATATTGAGCTTTACTTTCAGTTATGAAAGAAATCTATTTTTGATGTTGTTGTAGATGTCAAGCTGTAATAAACAATTACTATCTTCTGGAACCTGGTTGTGGTCATAGATGCTAGAAACAGCTATAGTTTTCTTCAAACTTGTCAAGGTTAATTTTTATTTAGGGTTTTACACTTTTAGTAATGGATGTAATATCTATATTTTTTAGTAAGTGCCAAGCTGTAGTAGACACCTTTTAACTTTGATTTAGAACCTACTTGCTGTCTTGAAAACTGGAAACAGCTTTTTAAAAAAATCCAAATTACTAAGGTGCATTTTAATGTCGGTCGTTGCACGCTTAGTAATGAAATCAATCTATAGTATTTTGTAAGTGCCAAACTGTAATAAACAACAAATAACTTTCTTCTAGTTCTAAAACCTAGATTTAGTTGTCGTCTTTGAAGCACGCTACAGCTTTGTTTATATTTATATCATAATACTTTGGTTGATTTTTAAGTCGGTCATTACACTTTCAGCAATGGATGTAACTTGTATTTTACTGTAAGTGCCAGGCTGTAGTCGACAACATATAACTTTAATTTTGAGGAGATAAAAAGCCGTTTCCAAATTCTAAGACCGCAACATGGTTCGAAAAAATACATTATTTGTTATTTACTACAGATCTGCACTTGCAAAAAACTTTCACTGTATGATTTCCGGGAATGCTATTGGATCTGATATGGTAATCATATGATTGTAAGGTGCATAGAGCTAGCTTACTTACTTGTCTTACTTGTCCAATGTGTTGGGGTCACTGCAGTCGGAACATGACCATATCTGCTCTCCCCC